ATTGGTTGAGCTCTTTCATATTTCTAAATTTCTCTATCTAACTAATTTATCATCCATGATTGAAAGCATTTCTCTCTCTAAAACTCTTTTTCCTTCCTTCTCTTTAGAACTCTTCCAATCAAGATCTTCTTCATCTCTCCCATGGGAGAGAGACCAAATCTGGTCTTTCCCCACGGGTGGAAGTACTCTTTATGGTTTATAGTTTCTCTTATTTGAATAAATTCTCTTTTAGGATTTCCTAATGAGAGATTCTTCTCTCTTAGGATCTCCTAGTGACAGTTTCTTTTCTCCTAGATTGTTTAGTGAGAGTTTTATTCTCTTCTAAATTTTTTCTTGTGAGAGTTTTTTTAGGTTTTTATCTTTGTGAAATTTTAGATTTTGTAGATCTAGAATCTAGTTTCTCAAATATACAATTTCTCCATTATTGTCGGATCCAAATTTCTATTTGGATTTGAACCAGTTTAATCAGATCTGATTGTCAGCAAACATGCATTGATGTATTGGGTTACAGTGATTCATCTGGATAGAAGATATATAGGAGCATCAATATTATCTTTATTTGTATTATTTTTTTAGATCTATTATATCTATTGATTTCATATCTATATGTATCTGAATCATGTTTGTTTGATGTATTTTATGCCATTAGTGCAGATTTTTTTGAATGAAATGATCTTTTCCATAAAAAAAAGGGTTAACAACAAAAAAGTCCCCTGTAGTTTAGCCATCATACAGAAAAGCCCCATGTGGTTTCATATCATACAAATCGATGCCCCATTATTTGAATTATTTTGAAAAGTGGACGAAAATCATAAAATGTACCGCGTGTGTCTTAACGCACTGGAAAGGCACATGTTTCTTGCGAAAAATAGATTTCTACCACAAACTTTCACGTGATATACCTACTTTATCCTTCACACTTTAATAACAATAGACGAGCTAGCTGTTTGACAAAATAACAGAAACCCAGGTGGAGGATTGCAATCTAGTATGATCTTTGAAAGCTAGCTGTTTGACAAAATGGCCAAAAGACACTATCAACAGCAACATCTCCACCTGGGTTTCCGTCTCGCTCTCTCTCCGTCTCACTTAGCTTCTTTAACCCCACTTTTTTCGAGTCTTAAACTTAGTTTATTGCTTCTCAAATTTTCTTATTTTCCTTTCTGCTCTGGGTTGGCCACTCCTTGGCAATGGACAAACACCATCAGCAACTGCCACTGGCCAAATGCTCGCAGCAGCAGCGATGCAGCGAATGGTTAGTCTTTGGTCCCCTGTTTTTTCGTTTATGTAGCTGGACTTTTCTTTACCAAGTGTCTCCTTGATTCAACAGTTGGGTCTTATGTTCGAAAATACCCTTCGAATGCTGCCTTCAATTTTGGCCGAAGCCGAAGCCTCAGCCTCGGAAGACTCTGAAGCTCGTATGCTTAAACAAATAAATCAACAAAAGCTTAAAAAGGAACGGACCATTTCTACAGTCAATAAGTAGTATGAAGATAATGGGTTTGTTTTATAGTAGATTGTATTATTCTTTTATCCATGCAGATAAAAAGGCAAAAAGGAAGCAAGGGGCCGGGAAGGGGGGAGTGGTGGAACTTTGTTTCATTCATGAAAGAAAGTCAAGAACAATATGCTCTTTGCCTGAAGAAAGGAGGAGGCAAAGCAAAGGAAAGCAGAAAAAAAGCGGGAAGAAAGGCCGTTATTCTATTTTCTGACATATTTTACTCCTTGTCAGGTTGTCCCCCTCAACTAATCCCACTTAGTCTTCTTATCCCACAAATAATCAATGAAAACTCTTTTCTACCCCTTTTTTCAAGCTCTGTTCGGATACCTTTAACAGATTTTTTTGTTCTTGTTTTTGTGTACGTGTTTTTTCTCTCCCGTTGGTTTTGACAGAATGAAAGTGCAAAATTACTTCTGCAATTTTCGTTTATATCAAAAGGGTATTTTCATCTTTTCACCCAGTTTCGTCTGTTTTAACGATTTCCGTCTACTTTTCTGAATAATTCAAACCATGGGGTACCGACGCGTATGATATGAAACCACAGGGGGCTTTTCTGTATGATAGCTAAACCACAAGGGGTTTTTTTGTTGTTAACCTTGAAAAAAAACTAATCTATCATCTTTTGTTTCACCTGCTATCCACAACTCAAGGTAAGTTTCATTATATTAACATTTATACATAAATTTAATTTTTTTCTTTTTCGTTATAGACCTTTTTTTGTTCCATTACTTCATGCACAATATTTAACAAGTACATGTTTCAATATGCACAATATTTAACAATTATATGTTTCAACATGAATTTTATTCACATATTCAAAATGAGCGAAAAAAACCTCAATATTCTTTTTCATGTTTTTTTTTTATATTCATCTTTTATGGGATGATTGGGTATTTAGATACCTTTTGAAAATAAGATAGAGTGACTTTACCACTATGTTTAGATAGGTCTACATGTACATTGCTTGCATTCTTTTGTATTTTGTGAGTTTAAGAAAAACTTTCATATTCCTTTCATTTCTTTTTTCAAATAGTATACATATTTTAGATAAACCATAACATCATAAGATAAAGATACAATCATTAGTGTTTCAAGTATGAATTTTGAGATGTTAATTATCTTTCATAACTTAGTTGCATCATGATCATTTAAGAGTATGACATACTGAAAATTTAAAATATGTCATTTCTTTGTCCTTTGGAAAATTTGTAAGGTTATTATTATTATATTTTTGGTGCTATAATGATCGGCAACTTTAGCTTTGGTTGAAAAAGATAAAGAATGATAATCTCTTTGTGGGCTCAAGCTATGAAAAAAGAAAATACTGTACAACAGATATTGAAGTTAAGCATAATTTGCAAAGGACAATATCAGATTATGGGCAAGCAAGTATATTTCCTTCTATGAAAATACTAGAATGGTTCTGGCTGTGCAAGGCACAGCCAATGCCCAATCTATTGTGTAACAAATATTGAAAAATTCCTTGCCACTCTTTATTTTTAAACTTGGGCACAATTGTATCTAATTCTTATTCTAAATTAGAAGTAAATTACCCATTTGAAAAGGTTCAAAATTCTCATCAGACTAAATAATCATTCATCTAAATCCAATAGCACAACCAATTCCCAACCTATTGTGTAGAAAATATAATTCAGAGCACCTAAATTGTAAGTAGTGACAATTCTTATGTAGATGTATATAATGTATTAAGGTGTTTACCATAGCTCACGCCCATCTATTAAAATTGAAGAAGTGTTGATCCTAACAATATTAGATATGAACATTATTTTTTATTTTTATTAATTGAAATACCAACCTAAATACCGTTATTATTTGTTGTTCTTTTTTCTTTTTAAGTTTAAAAATTTTTTAAAAGCATTTTTAGGCTAGAGGATTAAAGTTTTAGCTGAAAAGAAATCCAATATTAGAGATTCTTGTAGAAAAGTTTATTAAGTTCAGTGATTTTGTGGTATAATTGAAAAACTTTTGTGGATTGCTTGCATCATTGGTCATCAGGTTGTAAACATAGCATGCCAAATACGTTTACTAGCAAGATGTGGAAAATATTATGTGCGTAAATTATTGCTTTCTAGCAGTAGCATCTCTCCAATGAAAATCAAAATATCCTATACTATGTTGCATTTGTAAATGTTTAATCAATAAGAGTAAGAATAAAGAAGCAAAGGTAGAACCTTACTTTTTAAATGAAATTACATAATATCCTTTCCATTTAAAAAGTATAAATTCATACACCTTTACAATGAATATACTAGTTTCTGGGGATTACATTCATTCACCTTCAGCTTAGAATATTATTTTTTACATGAAAGAAAAGGAACATTTGTACAACAGAGAAGAAAATGTAAAAATGGCTTTCAGTAGAATGATTGCTTCCATGGCACCTAGCCATCTGTAAAACAGAGAACAAAGAACACAAATTGCTTTTAGTAGAATGGTTGTCCCATAAAGAGAAGTCATTCACTTAATTTCTTAAGAGTTAGAAAAGGGGAAAAAAATCTTACCTTCAAGCCAACTTCAAGTAGAAATAACAGAATTCTGGAGAAGGGAAATTCAAAAAAACCCAAATCCTCCCATACTCTCCTACAAATTTTCCATGTCGTCAGTCATAAAATAAGAAGAGAAAAAAAAAAACTAAAAAGCAATGCATTGAATGTTTAGATAATGAAAAAAATTACTCCAGAACTTATTTTAGTCATTAGAGTAATATCGAAAGGATCAAAACATGTTGTAATCATATTTAAAAATGGGGCTAAATTTGTATTAAAAGTTTAGAAGAACACATTCAGCTACACTGAAACTAATAAAATAGGAAAAAAAGGAATTTTGACAATCAAAACCAAGACTCAAATTTATCTATAAAAGTCAACCAAAGAAGAAAAGCATCCCGTGGCTACAAAGTCGGCTGTAGTTGGGGGATAATATTCCCCAAAATGCCATCCTGTAAGAATTATCTATAAGATGAATCCGAAGGCTACGCATAATTTGGGGAAAAATTTGCTGATTTTTTGGCCAAGAAGTACAACCTAATCTAACCAAAAGTTCCCCATTTTCCTCCTTCCAAGTAGAATTATCCCGTGGGTAAGCAAATTCTGAGCAAGAAATTACAGAAAAAAAGAGTTTATTTGACATTGAATAAAGGAGAAGACACCATCTGCTAAAGCAGTTGAACTGCAGCTTCTTCCTTTCGTCTGATGAGAGGAAAAAGAAATCTACAGGAAAGAAACAGAAAGATGGTAGGCTAAAACCAAAAGTCAAAAGAAGCATCAAGGGATGGTACAGAGGAGGAAGGGAAAGACGCGGATGAACAGAAGAAAAAGTGCAGGTGAAAAACCAAAATTCAGCCCAAATAGTGAGCTACTGTTCTGGAAGCCTATTATGTTTAGAAGGGCAAACACGTAATTTTAAGTAAAAGGACAGAAACGCCCTAGAATAGTTATCATCTGTTTAGACCAGGGTAAACTTTATGAGGTTATTAACAATATAGATAAAGAGGGAACCGCCCCCTGCCACGTTGGATGGTCGTCCGCCCATGTGGCAACTGGAGATTGGCTGGAGGTGATATGCCACTTGGTTGTCCTCCCTCTTGTATTTGTTTGAGGGCTTTTCTTCTTTCCTCCGATAAACCAAACGACGACGTCGTCTGTTCCTTCTTCTTCTTTTTTTTTTTTTTTCTGTCTTTCAAAACGTAGCAGCATCAATCAATGTCAAGAGGTCTTGAAGACTGGTTCCTATACAGAACTCCATTTTGTCCTCTAGACAAAACTCCATTTTTTCCATGAGACCCAGAAGTCTCTCCTCAATTTCCGGCATTTGATTGTACTTGGGAGAGATTGTAATCTCGATTGGAGGGTCCAGATTTATTTCTTCTTCTGATGAGTGGGTGCTTAGAATTTGATGGACGATGGGCTCGAGATAGAAAATGGTTGGTAATCTTCTTCCCCTTTCACTCTCGATTCTCTCTCTTGTTCTTCTTCATCTTCCTCCCTCCCTCGAGTCTCTTTATGGGTCTTTTTTTTGTTTGGCTACTCACAAGTTTTATTTTCTCCCCTTCATTTTCCTTTTTTTTTATGCATAGTTTCTTCCATTTTTGTTGCCGTGACTTTCCTGTAATTTTTTTTGGGGTTACTCAAAAAATCTTCAACACCCTCTAAGAAGAGGAAATATAGGGGTTTTGTGTTGAAGTTTTTCTTTTGGGTTCCATTTGGTTTGTTTCTCATCATTTCATCCTATGCTGGTTTCTTTTTGCTCCTACTTGCTTGCTGTGTTTGCTGGTGATTTGAGACCCCAGCAGCCTGAGAATAGGAGAGTTTTGCTGCGATTTCTCGAAAATTACTAGGCTCAGGGACATGGTTGACGAAGAAGAGGATGAAAAAAAGAGATTGAAGAAGGTCTGAAATTCTAGGGCTTGTAGCGGCCAAAACTTGATAGGCATGTGGATTCCTAAAGCGCCTGATAATTTTTTCCCCACAATTCGGGAAAATTTTATACTATGATGGCTCTAAAAATACAGAGTTTTCTATCTGAATCTATCAATTTTTTGTGCTCGCCCTGATTCTCTCCCTCTCTCTCTCTCTCTCTCACTCTCTCTCTCTGTATATACGGGTCTCTGTTGGTAATTAGTTTTTCCATCACTGCCTTCTGGACCTGGTGATGAGATCTTCTGTGAAGGTTCTTTTTTATTTTTATTTTTTTTGATAATTTTTCCTTTTCTTGAAATTTCTTTAATTTTTTATTAGTTATATTTTGATTTTTTTTGTGGTTCGATTTTTAAATCTCAAATATCAAAAGTGCTTTACCCCATATTTTTATGACCATGGATCCTTTTAGTTTTAGTTTATCCCTACAATCATTAATGATCTAAGATTTTAGCTCCGAGGACTTGGACCATGGAGGGGTTTTGTCTTAGTTGTTTGGCATTCTCCATTTTTTTTCTCACCATGTAAATGGTCTCTCACTTTCTTAAACTTTGACTCTTTAAATGATGACCTGCACTTTCTTTGCAAAAGTGACCTGTTGAATGCTCTGGATTACTATCATGGAAATAAAATTTGCTTGTAATTTCTATTTATTTCATATATACTGAAGGCTCATCTTATTTATTTTTTTGCGTACCCCCCTCCCCCTTCTTCTTTTCTATGTTAATGAAAGTGTGACAATGTGTGGTTTTCTCCCTTTTTTTTCCATGCAGGAAGTTCTGTCTATCTGCCCCTAATTTGATATTTGACCCCAGGAATGTGCATGGCGCTTCAAGCATTTTTATCTCCTGAATCATAGGGCTACCTAAATGTTTTGACCGGGTATGTCCTCATTTTATTTGCTCATCTTTTTTCTGCCTTCGGACTCAGCTTCTATTGCAATACGGTGGAAAGGCTTATAGAATTGGGAGAAGGGCTTGTGCTCATGATGGCATGACAACAAATGATTGGGGAAACCCATGAATGCTATCTTTATCATTGGATATTTCCTGATGAGTGTGGTTCAGGTTTCCTTAAAGAATGATTAATTGGTTGAAGCTACTCCCACCTCTGTCGCTCATCTTAACTGATAAAAATCACCCAAACTTTTTTTGCATTCAGGTTACTACTCCTTACCAAAAATCTTAGCTTTTAGATATGGAGCAAGGTCACCATATGAACAAGAAACTTTTGGTCAAAGCTTCATGGTTTTTTTTTTTTGAAAAAGGATACATAAAGTATGGCCCGTTTATTGATATATAACATCCAGCCTTTTCTTTGTCATTCTTTGGTCTTGGAATTATGATTCTTGTCACAAAAATGGTACAATCGACAACCTTGTTTCCCCTAAAAAACCATGTCTCTATGATTGTTTGCTGCATTTTATCTGATTAAATGGCTTTATTATTTTTTTAGTTGCTGTGATTGGTAGATGCTTGATGTCACTGGAACAGTTGCTTAGAGTCTGCATAGAGCAGATGTACCTTACATCTGATTGAAATTCTTGAACTATCAAATGAAGTTTATTCACTCCCTTTATATTTTCAATATTTTAGATATGAGGATGGTTCCATGGCCTGGTGGGATGTAAGGAATCCAGGGGTTCCAATGAATTCTGTTAAGTTTCATAAAGAACCAGGTATAGTGGTGCTGGCTCCATATACATCATGTTATTTGTTGATTGCGACTTCTCTCTCCCCAAGAAACCCAACAAAAAAAATTGAGATCTCGTTCCTTTTTTGCAGTTTTGAGCCTTTGTATTGATGGGGCATGCAGTGGTGGTATCTCTGGAGCTGCTGATGAAAAACTTGTGTTTTTCTATTTGGATTATCAATTGGTAAATTCAAGCTTGATAAATTCTTATCCCTAGCATGTTAAGTCACTTTATTGCATGGCATCTTTACACTTTCAGCTAACAGGATGTGGCATGCTGCTGTTAGTCATTGCTGCCTTTGCCTTGCAAAAAAGAAATATAAGAGAAGATAAAAATATCACGTGCCATTTGTTTACAACTCCTCTATGGTGTTTTCATTTCCTATTCTTGAAGTAAATTTGATGCTAATATACCTCAATCCAACAATCTTTTGTTTTGCAATTGGTGACTATTTAACATCAGAAGGTGCCTATTTTGAACTTTAATTTTCTTAGTGTGAGGATTACTGTTTTTCTTAATTTTGCATTCTTGACTTCCAAGTGGTCTCATAATAGTCTCCTCCTCGTCTGGCAAATGCCAAGTGATCACGAGATGTTATGCTCGTTTGTAATGTGTCAGATGCACCTTACTTAAAAACAAGTTCAGAACTTCCTGGTTTGCAATTTTGAAGGATTTAAATTGCAGTTGGGCTAAAATGATGATTGAATTGTAGTTTGAACTTGAGCTGCATGTGATAGGCATCATTGACATGCAATATTTCTTTGAGCAGCGGCCAGCGGGTAGGAGGAAGAGACTTTTGGTCATTTTTAATGTCTTAAATTTCAAATTTCTAAGTTATGCATCTTTCTACCGGCTTGCGATATAGGGATCAGCACTGGTCAAGAAAGAAATTACATTGGAGCGACCTGGAATAGCAGGAACATCAATCCGGCCAGATGGCAAAATTGTTGCATTTGCTCGCTAGGATCACCGGTTAGTCACTCTTGGACTTTTTTGTGAGCCGCCCTGTTCAGAAAAATCATCTTTGTTTTTTTCATATGGTAGCTCATTAGTAATTCATGTAATTTTTGTGAATATTAAATAGGAGCAACCCTGAAACAAAATTTAAGACCAATTTTTAAGATAAGTATTTTTTATTGTCTTTCACTTTGATTGACCACATTGATTGACACAGTTGGCTTCAGGTTTGTCTTCATTTTTTTCTGGTATTTTTTGTGATTTTTCCTTGGGCTGACATTGGCAAGAAAAGTAGCTATGCGAAAGAAGAAGAATGAACAGCAGTTGATGGCAGGTTTTTTTTTTTTACTATTTGCTATTTTTTCTTGCATAGATGTTTGTTGCTGTCGTGGCTCATGAATGGCATTGTTTTGGGTTTTCTGAGTTTTTTAGAATTATAGAAATAAAGCACTTTTCATCTTTGTTTGTACAATCTCTGTTTCTTAGGTCTCAAAAGTGTTTTTTTTTTTTTTGCTTTTCTCTGTTTTATCTTCTGCTGCAATTTTTTTTGTTGAATATGTGGTGAACTGTGATAGAAATAAAGCATTTAGAATTATAGAAATAATGCTCTTTTTATGCAGCGAAAGCGAACTGTGATAGTTTGACAAATGGAAAGAATGAAATGAGGCTCTTTTCTCAGTATTTTTACTTTGTTTTGGTTTAGCTCACCTGTTTTAAAATTGATTATTTTGCACCTTTCGGTATATTATCAGATGTAAGTCATCCTTCAGAAAGACAAGGATTGGTGGCTTCATGTTATCTTAGTGTTTTTGTCACATTTTTAGAAAAGCTTTTTTTTTAAAAATGATTCTACTATATCTGCTACTTGGTTAGGGATGATGTGTAATTATCATATCAAATTGTTTGGAAAGTTTGTTATGTTGTTATAGGGAGTACAAAAACTTTACAAAAATTCTAATTTATTCTTTGTAATTTTTCCCCTTCTGATTTCTTGTGTATTAGTGGAAATCTTATGTGATTCTATGTGTCCTTTCATGCGGTGCATTGCGTTGTTGTCCACTTGCTTGGGGTGGTTCGAAATTCTCTCATGTGTTCACCTATGGTGCAACAAAGGTAACTTTAATTGTAAGGCTCTTTAATTCTTTCATCATTAAAGGTATGTAGCTTGTTAACATATAGCTAAGCTACTGCATCAGGGTTTGTAGGACTCATTAATCCTTTCATCGTTAAAGCTACTCTCTCTATGTATACTCTGAATTTGTTCTCATTCTGCTTCTTTCTTATTTCTGTTTAATGGAAAACAGGCATAGCATGGATCACAGCTTGTGTTGAAATGAGTTTTAAGAATGACAGAGATTTTTATTTGGCCTGTCCAAACTGTGAACGGCCTAATAATTTTCAATACACATAGGAAGTTTTATGCAGATATTGTCACTCTGTTGTTCACCTTTTACCTAGGTACATAAGTAGATATTGACATCTCATCTATTTTCGCAGACCTTTTCTTACCTTTTTTCTAATTATTGTATAAAATTTAAATCATGGTTCTTTATCTTAATTATTGCTAAAAACTTAATTTGACCAGCTTTGTTGCGTCTAACTTGCATGGAAGAATGCTCATGTGCTGCATCAAACCTTCCTGTCCCAAGTTTAGGGCACTTAAAGAAGTTGCCTTCACTATAATGAATTCTCATATTTGGTTGAAATTTTCGGCATTGACAATGCGAACTTCAATAGCCTCAATATTTAGAACTGATAATAATAAAGAATGCAGGGTATGCAATCAATATAGAGACGTCCAAGAAGCTTTACAGACACTTGAAATCATTCCTTGTTAATCCTCTCCCACTGTTTAACAGGCAAATAAATGGCAGCAGCCACAAGAATGATCGAGAGAATGCTGCAAATAGGATTGGCAGATATCGATACAGCTTAGCCTATTCCTCTTTGAGTAGTTATTGGAGCCTTGAAAGCTGATTTTGTTCCAATCTTGACACTAAGTTCTTTCGTTCTTTTTATAATTTTATCAAATTGGATTATGTACTTTGAATGTAATTTATATTCTATAATGTGCTTCCTAATTCATGGTATTTAATAAACATTTGGGAAGACCATTTTAACTCCTGTATTAATTATTATTTTGACCTAAAACCAAGTTCTTGACATAGATGATTTGCAATCATAGTTTACTTAGTATTGTATAATTTATTTTCAAGCACAATTTACATTGCTGCTAAATAATCCTGGGCACAAAGCAATATTGGGCATTAACACCGTGCATTTGCACGGTGATCACCTCCTAGTCTTACATATATATAAAAACTATAAAGAGCATTTTGGATGGCTATCACGGTATTCCCCAATTGTATAAATAACCTCCCTGCGGCTTTTTAAAATATGCCTAGTGGCTTTCTAAATATTTCTAATTCATCTTATAGTTAATAAATATTTCTAGTGGCTAAAACGGAAATTTCCTTTCCGAGTGCTTCTTATACTCCACTCCTTCCTTAATCCCTACTAGAAATTTTTTTTAAAAAAATATTTATTAACATTATAATGCAATATGAGGGTTTGAATTTATGGAGATTGTCAAATTGTTAAAATAAAATAATCTAATTTAATGTTTTAATTATTTAACTTATTCTTGACTTCTTATTTTCTAATAAAATAAAAATTTATCCAAACAAATTTACATTGGGTACCTTATATAGAAAATTTCAATAAATTATAATAGACTTTGGTTTTTTATCTTGATTTCAACAAATTCAATCAAATGTATCCCTCTATTTAAACACAAGAATGAAGCAAGTACGTATATTTTCAAGTATATGTGCAAAGGTCCTGAAAAGAGTTGTAGTTACAATTGTTGAAAACAATGTTAAAAGTTAAATGTTAGAGAAAAATATGCCTACATCTTTCAAGCATAATCACAATTTTAGATAAGAATTAATATTTATACAATTGTACAAAAATTTGATGCACTCTTAGTTTTTTGCATTCATTGTAAGGATTTTAGATAATTTTTTATTGATTATTATATATTTATTTTAAATTTTAATTTTTTTAAAAAAGTTTTTAATTCTTGTGCATAGCACTAGTTAAAAAGCTAGTAATATATACTATTCATCCATCCATATCTCCTAGAACCTTTCCAATACTTTGCTATGTGTTATTTCTTAAGATTTGTGAATTTATTTTATTCTTTAATAAATTTAACTAATGTTATATATTCATTATTTGTTACTTTAGTTCAAATGCTTAAATCCCTATATTTTAGGCAAAAAGTATTTCATTAAATCAATTATTGAAAAGCCTATCCAAGTAAATTATTTTACTTTTATGCTTCCTTTGAGTAGGAAAAAAAATTTAGTTAAACTAACTTATCAATAAGTCTCCCGAAGTAAAATTTTCTACATTAACATTCCTTCTAGTTGAAAATAATAAATAATGCATACTGCTATTTGCAAAATGTTTTTGTACGTAAGATATTATAAATTTAATAAATTTTAACAAACTAATAGGCATCAACACATGATTACTTTACAGAGATAATGATAAAAGTGGAAATTTTTTTACCACAACTCTGTTATATAAACAAAGAGTTTAACTAATTGTCCTACTTCAAAAAGCTTAAGCAAGAATATAACGTTTTTAAATTATACCAAAAAAAATTAATTTCACTATTGCCAAATATAGTGTATATCTTTTATTTTCATAGAAAATTAATATCTTTTTAAATTAATTACTTCCAACTCTACAAAGATTAATTAGTGTGAAAAAAGCTTATACATTTTAAACATCAACATTTACATATTTGTACTAAAATCTCCGATAACACCTCCTTAAAATCACATTTCATTAATCTTTTATTATATAATTTTATTCAATTTATTGTTTAATTAATATTGTTGTCTCAAATAGGCTATAAGAATTGTAGATCCCAACAATTATACCAAAAAAACTATATGAGAAAAATTTCACAAAATTAATACATATGGAATGCTAATTAACAGATATACCTATGTGAGAAAAGGGTAATAATATCAATAATATAATATTAATAATACCATAATAACAAGGCTATGCAATTTTCACTCTTTTCAACTGAATACAATAATATAAGTATATAACTCCCTACTTATAGACTACGTGATTGACATCCACAAGAATTATCTAATACAGTAGAAATTCCAAAATAGTGAAATTACCATACCTAGATTTTAATAAAACTACTAAAAACTTTTGTGACCAAAATACTACTAAAAAATAGTATATAAACTTCAAATTTTAAACCTTGATATACCATGTCAACATTATTTCTTTTAAATCGAACTCACCCTTGAATCAGGTTCACAAATAATAATCTCCCTAGCAAAGTCCATTAATATCAATTGAATTCTAAATCTTCAAAACCTTTTGTTGCTGCAGTGTTCCACGCATCTGGACAAGTTCATCCTGCCACTTAATTTGTTTTTAAATTGCTACAATAATCCAAGCACCTGTTTTTTTTATGTCAATTCATTGATAATTTATCAATTTGTGATTTTGATAATCAATAACAGAATTCTTAACCAATCTCTATTGCAACATCCACAATCAAACTAATAATTTGCAGACCAATTTTATGGCCAAATTTTGACCAATTAAATACTCCAAACCAACCTCATGGCCTTATGCGATCGACTAAGCAATGCATAACTTACTCCAAGATCAATTTCATGAATCTATAGCTCTGATACTAGATGTAGAACCTCAACAATTATACCAAAAAAACTATTGGAGATAAATTTCACAAAACCAATATATATAGGAAGGCTTTATTACACACATACAACAACAAAACTTCTAAAATTTCATTCTTTTCAACTGAATACAATAATATGACTATTGACAACCATAAGAAATTATTTAATACAATACTAGCTGGTAAACAGTAACAATACCATAACTTGCTCCAACAGAGCTACTTTAAACTTCTTGACCAAAATACCACTAAACGATAGTATAGAAATTTTTATTTTTTGACCCTGGTTTAATATGCCAACAATAATGAACAACACCCTGGAATAGGATGTTAGTAAGATGACTTAAGCACCGTCGACACAGTCGACACAGTTGCAAACCTAGACTTAATGAGCTCAATGATACTTTGATTTACTTGAAATGCTTTACTCAACACGAGATCAGGAATCGAAGGTTTGGAGTTAAAAAGAGCAAGGGGGGCGAACTGAATCCCTGGATTTTGACTGTTGAACGAGGCGAAGAAGCGTGCGTTCTCGTGTCCAATATTCAGTTGGAAGTGCACTAGCCCAGGAGGAATCACAAACAACTCTCCTGAAGTCACAATTTTCCAGTAGAAAACGTTTCCGGTTGTCACAAAGCCTACAAACAGATTTCCATCCATGACTAGAGCCAGCTCGGATGCACGAGGGTGGACGTGGGGTTCATTCAGCCCTCCAGGCTTCAAAACCACTCGGTTCATTGACATCCCCAGAGTGTTGAGTCCTGGAAATCGATGAACATCTTGACGAGTGACATTGACGTCAAAAATATTGAATTCTCCTGGACTTTGTTGGAACCCATTGGCGAAGAAGTCTTGTGAAGATACATTATCAGGGTTTTTGCACGGAAAGCCATTAATGTATAAAGAGGAATTAAGATCTGCAACGCAGAAATCTTGCAATGGGCTTGGATCAGCAGAATGGGATGGCAGTGGTAGGAGAAGGCCTAGGGAGAAGAGTACCAAGCATAGTAGTATCTGGTAATTCATATTGTAGGCGCTCTGGTATGCCATGGAAAGTTTAATTTCAGTTGAGCTAGGAATGAATATGTAGTTGGCTGAAACTAAAAGTAGCTAGGCAGGAATGTGTCCATAACTGACAGGGAGGATGGTATTTATAGAACCCCAAAGGATGACTGATTTCAAGTTTGATATAATTTCTTATTGCTGCATCAAAATCGCATTGTGGAAATGAGTTCTGCAGTCATACGGAAGTATATCCAACTCACCTTTGTTTGTTGTACCCTAGTGCAGGTGGGGTTTAAGTCTTTGCAGGTGGGTTTAAGTCTTTTCCTGAAGAAAATCATGATAAACTACAATACCAGAATATGATCCCCTTACGTACTTGTGTTCCAGCATGCTATCAGCGGATTTGAAACTGAATAATGGGTTTTTGAGTATAGCTCAGCAGATTCGTACAAGTTTACACATAAGTAGCTAGATTGGGTTCGACTTTTTCAAACGGACGATGAAATGTGTACAAGTTTACACATAAGTAGCTAGATTGGGTTGGACTTTTCAAACGGAAGATGGAATGTGGCTTAGGGTGCGTTTGGTTTTATAGAATTAGAATTGAATTAGAATTGGAATTCTATAGAATTGGAATTCTATGAATTGGAATTCCAAGTTATTCCAATTCTTTCGTTTGGGAAATGCATAGAATTGATACGGAATTTATTTGGAATTCCAAATCCTTTGTTTGCATGAGAAAAGAATTCATTAGGAATTAGAATTGTTTTCATGAAACATTTGCTTACATAAAATTTTTCTTTTTTTCCTTTTTTCTATATAATAATTTTTTTCTTTACATTTAGCTAATTTTTATTAAAGATTTATTTAAAAGTAAAAACCAATTTGTGCCTTTAATAATTTATTTTTTTCCACTTTTATGTCAATTTCTTTTGTTCAACGTATGGTATAGATATTGGCATCCAACCAAAACTGGACCTCAAGCCCTTAAAAGTAAATCCCCAATGACACTAGCATATTTCTTAAAACATGGTAGAATATCGGACAGTGAATTACTCACAAATTACCTGACCGAAGAAAATAGTGAAAAAGAAGACAAAATATACAAATCGACTTTTTTGGTGAAACCAAATTGTAAGATTAATTCGAAAGAAAATGGGCAATCAATGAAGTACTCTCTCTCTCTCTCTCATTGTTTGTCCTGGCCAAAAAGTTCTAGACTTTTTGTTTTAAACGTCTAAAAAAAATGTGACTTTAGATTTACATGCTTCTAAGGTTAGGGACTTATCCTCCCTCAGCCAAATGTGTACAGGTATTACTACTACTTGGAAAAACAAAAACTTTCTAACTTGAAAATGCCAAAATGATGGGACTAGAATAAGGTGGTTTTTTTTCTCTTGATATTCTAGAAGTTGGAAGTTGGAACGTGGAAATAAAGTCGAGTGATGAAGCAAGCAGGTTACATGTGACAAATGATAAAGATTATCTAAGTGGTTCATGACAGATAGAGATATCATCAGAAACAGGGAAAGGTGCTGCAACATTTCCAAATCATCTAGACGTTTTAGAGCACTACGAATCCTGGCTAGCCCTTGACAGTGAATGAAGACTTTGAAATTTGCCATCCAACAAAGAAAGAACTCCATCCATCAATATATTCGTTGCTCCAGAAAAGGATCAAACTAATGCATGAGTCTTATCTGAAATTAAGCACTGACAAGTACAGCTAAAAACCGACAGAATACAGGAAGAGCACTTATACAAAAGCTCCTTAACTTTGAGAAAGAATGCAAAGCTTCGTGCAGCTCAAGGACAAGTCAGGGCATCAACCCAGGCAGCTATGTTAATCTCAATATAAAAAATGCTAGTTCATCAGACAAAAGATCCAATGTTCCATTCTTATCATCCCAAAAACAAATAGAAAATAGCTCAACTTCTTCTACAAAAACAACTTCAACTGGAGATTACCAAAAAAAAAAAAATCAATTACCAATGTGCATCAATAGCCAATCCTTTTTTAAGTCATCTTGAAGACCAGAAAAAGTGTCATACTTTGTCCTGTCATTCATAAGTAAATCAATACCCTTCAACAATTGAAATCTATCCAATTCAATTTTAGATAACTCGTCTTCCACCATTTTAGTTGTAACTTTTGAACATTCTGAATTTAAGTACTTATCCAGTGAATCTGCCATTCGTCCCAACACCTTGTAAAGTACTTGAGAGCTCGTTAGTTTTCTCTTTGTGCCACGATCATTTGTTGAAGATGAAGCTTTTGATTTTGACCGTTGTCGAGCTAGCAGTGCATTCATAACTTCATCTTCTAAAGATCGTGAATCAGTCTCAAATGATTCCTCTACATTAGCAGACTCTTCAACTTCAGTTTCAACATTAGCCTCAAAAACAGTTTGGGCACCCTCTCCATTTGCACGATCTTGTGAAAACAGTGTACAGATATCCTCCCAATTTTCAACCACAATTTTTTTTCTATAAGGAAGAATTTTTGGATTCTCACTTACTCGAGCATTCCATACATCCTCATCACGAACATCAATTCTACCTCTAGAGTAGTCCCATATTATCGCAGACCCAGAGTTACATGACTGGAGCAGTGGGTATAGGATGTCATAGTGTTTCTCCCATGTCTTGAAACGAGATAAAATATTAGCCTTTGTCACAGATATATTGAGCTTATCGAATAAAGCATTCATTACTACGGTGTAGGCTGCTGTCTTCCATGCACATTTACCATCCAATTTGTTTCCTTGGTTCATTTGGTCAATAAAACAGGTGCCCATTACACGATCCATTTCAGGAGTCCAAGTGAAATACCCTTTGCCTTTCCCTTTTGACTGAGATGTTGCTTCAGATGCCATATCTGAGGCAGATATGCACCAGAAAAACATCACAATGTCATGTTCTTAAGAACATATTTAATAGCTACTGCATTATAGAACTAAAAATGAAAGGCAAATATGCACCTAGTCATGAAAGGCAATCGATCTCTAAACTTAAAAACGTGTTGGGCTGGACATTGATTTCATATCATTGAAGAGTAAATAAAGGGAAACGTCCATCAAAGGTAAACAGAATTCCTGTATTTTAAGTTCTATGACTATGGCTGGACATTCCAATTCTTTGCTTATGCTGTCTTCAAACAAAACTAGAAAAAAATGATTTGCCTTAAATGTCGAATGAACTTTCACTAAGAGAAGGCATCAAGATTCAGAAGTGATATTTATGCCTCAAAGATACCAATTATTTTGTAGAGAGCATGTTAGTCTCTTTAATGAGTAAGGAGAATTCTACACTTAAAAAAGCCAAAACTCAAACCATATGAGAAGGGAGTTATAAAAGATTTGAGTACAACAACCCCCAAAAACAGCAATAACAAAATACAAAATGAAAAAAATACAGATCAACAGGCAGACCAAAATGAAATGGACAATCGCAGTAAATATAGACACCTTTTAAAAGAGTAAATGAGACTGGTGTTACAGTTGTCTAGGAGATGCAGATCCAGCCATTTTCAACTTGTACGGAATGACCAAAAGGGTATTTTTCACTTCTCATTGATGCAAGAGGGCCAGCCCATACAGTCCGCACTCGGACAGGATGAGGGGTAAATCATACAGTACTAGCAATTAAATCAAAGACGGCTCAAATTAATAAATAAAACTGACGCCCGGAGAGTATTAGGAGCCACATTTCGCTAAGTTTTTACTATTGCTGCCATTACTGTAGTTATAAAACATGAAGAAGGGGCATGCAAATTATAATTGTCATTAGTTTGCGACAAATGATGTGGGGGGTGCAAGGAGGACAGCCCTCTTGATAATGAGGTGAATTGTTTAAATTGTTTTCCTGCTTCTATATCATCACAAAGTTGGGTTCCCATAGCAGTATTTGGACGTCATAACTTAAAGCAGTATGAAAGTTGGAGATACCTCTGCTGTTGGGGTCCGTTCCAAAATCCAGAAGCAGTAGCACACAATTCTCGATTTAGTAGCACACAAAGCTGATGGTAGTAGGTACCTTGACCTCCTGGTACAATTTCTTCTCCCAAGCGTACAGCCTCTCCACAGTTGAGCAATGACTAGTAGCTGTGGTGGAAACACCTACACCACCACCAACATCCACATTCCCAATCGAGTCCTCAATGCATCTCCCAAATCCACCATTCCATTTCGGACTCGAATTCCACGTCCACAACAATGGATTCAGATTCCTCCCACTCCCATAAACTCTACCTGCATCCCATTTTCGCAACAACATTATAATCTTGCACTCCAATTTTCACAATTAATTAAAAGTAACTAAAAGCCCAAATGGAATTTTGCTTCAATTTGCCGCATACAGTCAACACTCAACTCATAAATTGCTTATAATTGCAAATATAGCCACAAAATACAAAATATCAGGATGGACAAGATATGGGCTATTCACAAGAACATTTCCTCTTCTCTCTTTTTTTTTTTTCCTTAAATTACAAATAATCCGACAAGATATGGATGGCTTCATCATGCATCTGAATCTGGCGTTAAGATTACCTGAGGATCTTAGGTCGGAAAAGGTACAAGTGGGGACTTCCAAGAGCAATGAGAGCGGCCCGATAGAAAGAGCAATGAGAGCACATGCGGCTGAGGAAAAATGGTGAGTTAGATAGAAAGAGAGGGGTGCCGATACCCTTGACCCGATTTTAATTTTTGATCCAAATTAGATCCGCGTTTGGACCCGTTTAATTGTGGAATTGGAATTAGAATTCTTTTGATCTGGTAAAGAATTCAATTCATGGAATTGGAACCTCTTGGAATTAGAATTCAATGCTAATTCTATGGAAAAGGCAGCATCCAAACACAAGAATTAGAATTGGGGTTCCAATTCCAATTCTAAACCCCAATTCTATGGGGTACCAAACATACCTTAGGGTTTCTTATTAAGCTGCCCAATTTGAAAATCCTGCTCATGGTCAATCTGCCATGGTGTCTGACTCGGGAGTGAAAGATTAGTATATATATCATGTTACTGATAAATAATAATTAATGAATTAACACTCTATACATTGATAACGTATAAATTATTACAATTGGATATATGGTAAGTAATCTAAATTTTAATTTAAAATATAAATTTTGTATATGTATATATGTCTAACTATGATGGTGCATGCACTATTATTTTGTCAGTATGTATAAGATTTACACTTACTTAATTTGGATCAACTTCAATTAATTGAGAAAACAATTTACATGCTTTCGTTGAAAGTAGTGAAGGAAGTATAGATACGTGAGATAATTTGTACTAGGCCGTAGATACATTTGGTTGTACTGAACCAATTGGGGCAAACTCCACTTTGCACCTCCAAACTTGTATCAATCTTTCACTTTACACTCTGAATCAATTTTGGACACTTTGTATCATAAACTGTTAATTTGGATAATTTTACACCCTAAACTCTCCAGTTTGTCCCATTTGACAACTTTTGCAAAACTAATGTCATAGAGAACTCAACAAATCAATGATAATATGCTGAAAGTAATTAAAAGGTATCAAAGTATCATAGCAAAAATAAAACAATATATTGTCATTAATTTGCACCATCTTTCACCTCATTAATTTTTGCTAACAATTAAGACCATATAAATCAATGATAATGTGCTAACAATGATTAAAAAAATTAAGGAATCAGTGTTATAACAAAAGTACATTTATATTAATTTTTACCTCCCTCTATCTCATTAATTTTATGAATATAATAATTGATTGAAATTAAATGGAATAAATTTAAGAATATAGGGTACAAAGTGCTTGAAATTAGGAGTTTAAGGTGTAAAGTATCCAAAATTGAAGTTCATGGTGCAAAGTGAGAAAGTGATATAAGTTTAAAAGTGCAAAGTAGAGTTAATCCGAACCAATTGTATCTGTGTTATAACTGTATGTACATAATATTGTATCACTGAACCAATTGGTGGATCCTTTGTCATCCACCATATGTATTGAAATGGCTTCAAGGTTTTCAAGAAAATGTGGATATCTCTGTTGATTATAAAAAAGAAATTTCAGGGCACAAGAAAAAAAGAAAAAGAAAACTACTGTAGGTTAATTGCATAAACGACATACTTAATTGCTTCATTTGCAGTACCAAGTATTCCTTATTAATATTGGGGATAATTTCAGAAACTTTGACAGTTTCACTTAGCACCTTTGAATTTTAAAAAATCTCACTTGCCTCTCTTACTTAAAATTTTTTTGTATCATTTACAACCCATTTGAAAAATATAATATTAAAAAATCCATTTTGAGAGAGTGAATATAATCTCGTTCCAAATTTGCCCTTTTATTATCTTATTTTTTATTACAAAAACTTGAGTATATTAATGACAAATAAAAACAAAAAATATGAAGACTTATTCTTATTGGACAGAATATAGTGTTTTTTTTTTTACTGTAAAGTGCTTTGAGTAAATTTAAGACGTTTTATAAATCATTTACATTTTTTTTCAATTTTCTAATTTTTTGTCTAACTCGATGGTTTAAAAAGTAAAACATACAACATGCTAAAAATTATATATAAATTTGTTTGTATTATTTTTAAGCTAGTACAAAAAGGTATTATTATGGTTGTAATATTTTGATTGTAAATTATTGCAAGTTATTTTTAAGAGTATTGTAAATTATTCATAAGTTTAAGTAATTTAACATTTCTTGTTCAAAACAATGACACAAAAACTATTAAAGAGTTTATCGATCTTGTTACCAATTTTTAAAATTTTATCGATCAATTTACAAAAATTAAGAGAAAAATTAGTTGTATTTTTACAATCAAGAAATCACAAGAAAATGGGCAAGTTTGGAATGAAATCGTATTCTCTCCCCCCAAAATAAATTTTTAATATTATATTTTAAAATGGTCATAAATGATACAAAAAAACTTCAAGTAAGAGAGACAAGTGAAATTTTTAAAAATTTGTGGGTGCTAAATAAAATTGTTAGAAACCTTAGAGGAGATTTCTAAAACTATCCCTTTATGTTGAGATATAATTGAACAGTATCTATTACTACGTTCTCGACCAAAAGAATAAATATCGTGCCAGAAAAAGAGTAATAGCAGAAACGACTGAGGCTTCACATGGTTCCTTTTCTGTTTTTTTCCTTCACAAGGTTCCTTTTCAATTTGTAAAGTAGTAGCCAAGAGGTCCCAACTATCGTGGCAAAAGGAAATAAAAAGGCAACTAAAGCTCAGAAAAAGATGATCACTCATTTCTATTCTTATCGGCTGAGTGGGAAATGGGAATAGAAAGGCACCTAAAAGGCAGAAAAAGATGATCACTCATTTCTGTACTTATTGGCTGAGGGGAATCTTCGATGGCAATCGTTGAGTACGATGTTCATATATATCAAAGTGCTTGAAGGCAAGCATAATAAATGTTTAGGCTTACAAACACTAATCCCCTCTTTTTTTTTCTTCAGCAGGGAAAATTTGTGGGCCGTAAAAGCGGGAAAAATAGAGAGATTTGAAATCAAGATCTCAATTCATGAACTTCAAATTCTCCTCCCCCTCCGGGACTTCAAATTTAAGCCACGACAGCTTTGAGTCTTTGACCATTCAATGATGTTCAAACTTTCATTTTTACCGTACCCTTGTTTCCATTCTTCACTTGTTCTTCTATTCCTCAAGCTTCTTCCATCATCGATTCTGAGCAATACAAATTTTTGTTTAGTTTTGAAAAAATCAAGAACTGGATCTATTTGGATGGGAGAATTTGTAGAAAAATACATTCTAGTGACGTAATCTATACAATGTAAACAGGTAAATGAGAAACGTGTCTAGGAAATATTCTAAAAGTTTTTTCTTGAATAACTCGCAATCAAAATCCACAGTACCTATTATCAAAATATATCACTTCTTTACATATATACTTCCTACCTCCAACTATCAAACATGAAATTTGAATCCTGAACTTGACAGTGAAAAAATATTCTAAGAGTATTCTCTTGATCACTAGGTGAACTCCAATGATTTATCACTTCTTTACACGTGCGTGTACACATGATTTTCTTCTTATCGAAGATTTGTGTTATAAAATCTAACTACGGTTATGGAATTCAAAGATAGGTACATTCCATGTCGTGTATTGCAGATGTACAATTGGATCTGCACTTGTGGACGACCCTCATGCCTTCTTTATGACGGAATATATTCAATGTGGTCCACATGAGTGACAGTGAAAGAGTTTTTATTTTGTTAATTTTGAGATAGATGGTTTGACAATGAAAAAATAGAATTATTAATTTGTCTAGTAGGTACTAAACGTTATAGACAAAACAAGAAAATATAATTTGAGGGGGCAACCTTTAGGATACCTAAACTTTAACATGGAAACTAAAATGTTTTAGGCTTTTGCAAGGATGAGAGCTTAAATTTATAAAAAGTATTTTTATAAATTTTAATTTTACAGGAAAAGAAAATTAAATTTTATAAAACTTGGGGGATGAGGCCACTCCCCATCCCCCTAGTTCCGCCCTTGCTAAACATGATAGAATTACTTTATTTATTTGGTTAAACATGATTGACAGTAGTGCAACATATCGCACCATGACAGGTACCTTATAATTATATAGAGAAAAATACAGTTTTGGTATCTAAATTTTGACACACGAGCGGTTTTAATCCACAAATTTTGGATGAAAACAAATTTGGTACCCGAACTTTTAAATTTTGAGCATATTAAGTACCATTGACAATTTTTTCCCAAATTGTTACCGGAAACAGCTATGTGACTGTCACGTGTCCAGCCAAAATGGAATAAAAAAAGGTTAAAATGCAGTTTTGGTACCTAAACTTTGACGTACGAGCGGTTTTAGTCCTCAAATTTTGAACGAAAACAAATTTGGTACCCGAACTTTCAAATTTTGAACACATTACGTACCCTTGACGATTTTTTCCCAAATTGTTACCGAAAAAAGCCATATGATAGTCATGTGGCCGGCCACAATTGTATAAAAAAAAAGGCTCAAAAAATGTCAAAAAAGGCCACAATTAAAATGTATTTAATACTTAGTACTATAATGGCATTTGACATTTTTTGGCCTTTTTTTTATACAATTATGGCCGGCCACATGACTGTCATATGGCTTTTTTCGGTAACAATTTGGAAAAAAATCGTCAAGGATACTTAATGTGCTCAAAATTTGAAAGTTCGAGTACCAAATTTGTTTTTGTCCAAAATTTGAGGACTAAAATCGCTCGTGCATCAAAGTTTAGGTACCAAAACTGCATTTTGACATTTTTTTATTCCATTTTGTCTGGACACGTGACAGTCACATAGCTGTTTCCGGTAACAATTTGGGAAAAAATCGTCAAGGGTACTTAATATGCTCAAAATTTGAAAGTTCGGGTACCAAATTTGTTTTCATCCAAAATTTGTGGACTAAAACCGCTCGTGCGTCAAAATTTAGGTACCAAAACTGTATTTTTCTCTAATTATATAATACCTTCTTATCAACTTTCTAAGTTTCAAATCCTATTGTTTTTGGATTACGTACCTGTAAAGCAATCCTTTCTTTCAAAAGTGCTCGACGCTCAAAACCGTCCTAACTCAATTTAAATGGAAATTGCATGCATGGTTTAACGAGTAAGATTACCAACAATTCGTTCATCCCATCACCTCTAAGAACCCTTGTCAACATATGCTATACTGTCTTCTTAGAAAAAAGGAAGCATTAATACAAAGAATGGTCCTTGGAAGTGTGAGGTGGACAACTGTCGTGTGGTCTTCTTTTTTTTTTTTTTGGTCGAAACGATAAGTTAAAGTTGGATCCTGTGGAAATCGGAGTTTTAAGGTGGACGACGGTCGTGACGGTCACAAGAGAGAACTGGGTGATGTC